CGCAGGTCCCCCAAGGTCTGGAATCGGCCCTTCTCCACAATCCTCCTCAGGGTCCGGTCACCTCTTCTCGTTGTGCAGCGTTTTCTGCCACACTTTTCCCTTCCCACAGACTTCCCACTGAGGTGCCTTGATACAGCACTCTGGGAACAGCCTATTGGTTCAGCAATTTCTTTCTGTGTCTTACCCTCTTGCTTGAGGGTGTCAATGATGGCCTTCTGGACAGCAGTCAGGTCGGCAGTCTTACCCATGATTGCAGTTTTGAGTAATGAACAAGGCTGGGAGTTTTTAAAAGCCTCAGGAATCTTTTGCAGGTGTTTAGAGTTACGTCGTTGATTCAGATGGTTAGGTTAATATCTTGTTTAGAGAACCTTTTTATGATATGCTAATTTTTTGGGACAGACATTTTGGGTTTTCATGAGCTGTATGCCATAATCATCAGGATTAAAACAATTAAAGACCTGAAATATTTCAGTTGGTGTGCAATGAATCTGAAATATATGAAAGTTTCATTTTTATCATTACATTATGGAAAATAATGACCTTTATCACAATATGCTAATTTCTTGAGAAGGACCTGTGTATAAATATATCTAAATATATCGATATTATCTATATATATATATATATAGTGTGTGTGTGTTCACATTGGTTTTTAATACACCTTATTTGTATTACATTATTGTTTAGTGTATATCTTAAATCCTTCTGTACTGTTTCCTTTTTTCTTTCTTCTTTAATATACTTTATAGTATTGCTATTTTTGGGTGTAACTGGGACCTTGAGTATACAATTTTGTTGCACCTCATGTGATGCAAATGACAGTCACCGTGAACCTGATATATGGTGATGGCCATCATGGATTTTGATGTGGCAATCCAATTTGTGATATGGACCTGTTTTACACCTTGATGTAGCCACACACCAAAGTGGAAGTTGGTACCTCTCTTACTTTTCAAGTTATTATGCTCACAACATTCACAGACACAGAGTAGTTCTTATTCCCTCTATTCACTCAGCGATGGGAGACAAGAATCCAACTTACCACACACCTGCCTGTTTGTTGGCAGAAACAAATCATTTTAAATGACCTTAACACACACAAAAACATAATAATTACAAACTCCATCATTCCCAAAACAAATAATTTAATATATTATATATTCATATACACAGGTTTACTTAACAAGGCAGTTAGAAAATTGGTCAACACACGATTGTCCACGTGTTTAGTTGCATGCACAAGGACAGGCAAATGGACATTTCTATATTATTAAGACGGACACTGGCAGTGCTGTTTGGTTCCGATTCATTAGATAACATAAAAGACATCAGCCATCTCAGGTGCTCCCTAACCCTTTGATAACACTGACATCAGGACATGAGGACACTGGGTGGGAGTTTAAACCTCTCTGTATTTATGCATCTTACTAGTGCTTCTCATCGCTGCTCACGTGAAAATTAACTAGAAACATTTTAGTAGAACTCCACACAGCTGCCTTAAACAACACGATGGGGTAGAGGCAGAGCAGCCGACTCAAGACCTGGAAGTCCCAGGTTCGATTCCCAGTCATTGCACATCTCGTGGTGTCTAAGCACACCCTTTCCCCCGTTGCTCCCTGGGCGCCTTCAATAACTGCCCACTGCACCACCTGGGGGTGGATGGGTTAAATGAAGAGCCAGTTTCACCATTGTATGGAAACATACAATAATGACAATACATACACATTATTATTATTATTATTATTATTCTCAGAACCCCTCAAACACACACACAGGGAAGAACAGTTAACTTATATTTGCATATTTTCCCATGCAGGTTTTTGAAGTCTTACATTGTTCAGAAGTTACTGGTGTCTACATGGGGGGGGGGGGGGGGGCTCTGGAGAAACTCAGCTCTCGGGCTGGTGTTGGACTTCGATAACTCCAGTTAGAGCTGGTGGTTTCTATGGTGAGTTTCTGTGCTTTGTTTGAAGTTTACTTGTGTTTCCTTAATGACACAAGATGTTTTCTTGATCTCATTTTACATTTTTCCTTGACTGAAGTGTAAAGCACTTTGATCAGTTTTTGTTTTTATGTGCTATATCAGTAAATTGACATTTACATTGATATAGTCTTTCTACTAAAGTAGTTCCAGCATAAATCCAAAACTGGTGCTTAACCTGCTCCTTAACTGGTTCTTGTTAAAAACCAGTTCGGAGCTCTAATACTACTACTGTCAAGTCAGAAATGTGTATTTTCCTAACAACTCTGTAAATCTGGTAAGGCTCAGATGTCCCAGCTTTTCACCAGACTTGAATGCAGCATTATCTTTGTGAATCTGGAGCAGTGAGAAAGTCTCAAGTCACAAAAAGAAAAAGGTTTGAAAATTCAATCAGCCGGGTAGATAAATCACAAAAACAGGTTAAGTCAGGTCATCTGGACAGTTTCTTTTCGGGAGAAACGTTTCGTCTTTCATCCGAAGGACTCCGTCAGTCTGAGGCCTGCCACCAAGATCTGTCTTATAAATCGCACCTCCTTGATGTATTTCAAGTCATCCCTCTGTGGAATTCACAGAAACTAGCTTTACACGTGCACAAAGGGACCATCTGTCCAAAACAATCAATCATCATACATAATCAAAAGTTTTAGGCCAGATGGCCAACTTGCTACAAGACAGATCTTGGTGGCAGGCCTCAGACTGATGAAGTCCTTCAGATGAAAGACGAAACGCAAAAAGAAACTGCACAGACGACCTGATTAAAACTTTTTTGTGGTGTCTCAAAAGTCACATTCACGGACAAGCTGATCCGTGCTCTCACGTTGATTTATTGTCCACAGCAGATGATTAGTGCATGTGTTTGACAATTTGTACACACTTGTCTATTTGAAATGCGTACATTTGTAAAACTGATGATTTGCTTGTGGATGTCACTGTACACACAAAAATTTTAATGTACACTTGTTGAACTGCTTTTGAGACGACTTTATCTTCAAACCTGAACACCAGCTGGTGAGAATAAGACAAGTGTTTCTGAACTCAGCTGTGAGGCCGCGCTCTGCCTCTGACCTGATGCCACGTGACTGTTGATTAAAAAAACACAAACTGCAGGAAGAGACTGTTATAAAATCTTAATTCATAAATAATTTGAATTCTCACTCATGTCAAAGTGAAGTATTTTGTTTTAAATTAAGAAGTGAAACTAACTGCATTAATAAACCATGACGCTTGACTGCATTTTGATTGGTTGTTAGTCTCCATGAGCCCGCCTCCAGCTCCTGATGAAAACAGTTCTTTGCTCTGCTCCAGTAAAAAGTTGGTACTGAGATAGCTCTGGTTTTTCATGTTATAGTCAAGGTCTTTCTTTGCTTTGGTCCCATGCATGAAGGGGTGAATTAGAGGGAAAATGACTGGGTCCCAGTTTTCACAGTGCAGTTGTTTAAGCTAAACCGTAACAATTTGTTGCGTTTCAGCCCTTGATGTCCACAATGATAGTGTTCTCTAACTTTTTGAAACCAGGTCTGAGACTATCGTTGACTTGGGTCAAACTGGCACGGGTTCAGTCTTTATGGGGGAATCCTACACACTTCCAGCTCAGTTCTTTAACAGTTCTTGACCAGGTCTTAGTTCCAGGTGAGTCAAGTGGAGCTCAAGATCTGATGTCAGACTGGAGGCCAATGATTGGTCATAGAGCAGTCACCTGTGGGAGGGTCTCCCACCTTTACTTCAGCAGCACCCAATTTTATTTTGTTTTTTTAAAAAGATGTTTAGATATATCCATTAAAATGGCTACACATAAACCAACACCATGGTGTGTTCTATGGGGAGGTGCAGACATTTCCATGCTCGTTGACCGATGACAGGATTCAGGCGGCACCAAACGGACTCAATTTATGGGCTCCGACCAGCAGAGAGAGGGTAGGCTTGACTCAGCCACAACAACTTTGGAAACCGTGGCAGAGGATGGTGGCATTTTACTTTATCTGTGTTGGAACTGTCATGGGTAGAACTTCTGAGCAGCTGCGCATGCTATGACAGTCCTGCCCAGATTGAGGTGGCACACAATTTATATGCAAAACCCACCAAGACTGTGTAGACCTGAGTAGAGTTGTGATGAAACTGAACAATGGAAAGAGTAAAAGTTTTTGGGACATGAAATCAACAAAAATCAACATCTAAAAATATATATTGTGTATTTTTATATTTTAGTGAGACAAATGTCCAGTTTGTTTAAATGGAGGGGCGGGGCTTACATATTGTATGGCAGCCAGCCCAGTGGAGGTGCTCGTACATGGTAGGTTCAACTTCGGGTACTTATTTTCCGGTAGTTTTAAGTTACAGCACATCTTGATGTTTGGGAGTCCTAAGACCCCCCCCCCCCCCCCCCCGCTATCAGGACAGAACCTGGCTTTAGAAGCTGTATTTGGGTGGGAGTCCTGGAACTTACTCTCAGCTAACAGAACAGAGATTGGCATTAGACGTTGTAATGTCGTGAATGAGGAAACAACTGCTTTGGTTAAACGACTACCGTGTGACGGCGCCATACTCTGGCCTTGTCCCGCAGGTCATGTGCAGATCTCCTCATCACCACAGAGGAGAACTCTTGGGAGCCTGAATCTATCCATCCTGAAGACGAGGAAAGAAGGGAGGGGTCTGTTTGCTGAGCTGAACTAGAACCTACAACGAATCCACGCTGAGGAGGCATGCTTCCACTGACTCTGATTACCTCCATCCTGTCAGACCACCAACTTCTGTCCCTGTCCTTGTTTAGACCCAAATCCAGGTCTAGATTCATGGAAGTGGCTCTTATTCCTCCTGCTCTGGTCTTCCTGTGGTTAACCGAAGCAGCTTGGCTCCAGTATGGCTGCTGGGAGCTGTGAGAGCCTGAGGCCCGGTGCAGGTCGGGAGGCCTGCTGGGGAAGATCCATAAGGGAAAGATGGGGTGTCCACCGGCCGTACTGTGACTCCTTAGATAGGGAGGGTTGTTAGTGGCAGGTGGAGGTCTTGAGTATGTGACACTGGTCTGGTCATGTGAGCAGAGACAACTAACTGGATGGTGTTTGGCACAGCTGTCTGCTCCATTTTCCTCCCCAGTGTCTGCAGCCATGACCACAGTTTCCTGCCTTTTGTCTTTTTTAGAACAGGTGCTGACCCCCTTGTCTGGCTCTTTCTTCCCCCTTTCTCCAACTTCCTCCCTTCCCTTTTCCTCCCCATCATAGTTTGTAGTCTTGATGGGTTCATGCTCGGAGTCTTCGTCATCGCTGCTGCCTGCCAAATGGGTGCTGAGACATTTTTTACGTTTGCGGGTCACAGCAGAGATGATCGACTTCTGAAAGGTTCAAATTCAGGTTATCTTATGTTTTTAATCCCAAAAGATGTAAAGCTTCAATAAAACAGAGGACTTTTTGCTTACCCTTAACTTAATTGAACCGCTGGTGGTGGAATCTGATGGAACAAAGACGGGTGTTAAAAACACGTCCAGTCATAATCTCTTAGAACAAATGTCTAATTGAGTTGAATCTACTAATAATTTCTGCAGCAACATTTAATTTCAACAAGACAGAGTGATGATGACACATAGGTGGAAAACCAGCACTGATGAGAAGAAATAGATCGAATCAGACACAGAACATGCAAGGAGGAAGACCTGGTCCTACCGAAGAGGCTGATCCAGAGTCTCGGCTAAAGAAAAGTGGCAAAGAAAGGTCCAGAAAAAAGAATGTGAGTAAAAGTGGGAAACACAAGTATTAACAAGCAGTTCCATAACAACTGGGAAAAAGTACAGAAAACTTGTAGGGAGGAAAGACCAGGAGTGTCTCTCATCCAGACATACTGTTACAAACAAGGCTCCTAACATCAGACTGAGAAACAGAAACAGACGTTTAATCTTAATTTACAAAAGAAAAAGAAGAAACAACATTTAAGAATAGTTCTATAGGACTATGTTTGTACAGTGACATGGAACAGAATTCATACATCTTGGTAACATTTCTGTTTTATTGTCTTTGTTCTTAATTTGTTAATAAACTAAGCTAAATAAGGGATTTTATTTTTTATCGTGGCAGGTTCACTGTGCTTGTATCATCCTTCCATTTCCTGATAGTGGATAGCACTCTGTGGGATGTTCAGGGGTCTGGGATATTTTTTTAAGCTCACCTCAGGTCTGTAGTTATTGTTCTTTGAAAACTGGAGAGTTCTGTGATTCTCATAATGACTCTTGATTGGGGTGGTAGACCTTATAGAGGAGTTGAGATGATGCTATCAGAACAGACGTTTGCATACTGAGATCATCTGAGAGTTAAAGTAATCACAGGAAGATCTTATTCTACTAATTGTGTGGCTTCTGAAGGTAATGACTGCATGCAATACTGCATTTGTTCATCTAAAACACTTATTCCCTCTTCTTGTTCTTTTTCTTTCAATGTCTCCTCTTCAGGGGTCTCCACAACGAGTCATCCTCCTCCACCTCTGTCCTCTGTGTCCTCTGTCCTCACTCCAACCACCTCCATGTCCTCTCTAACTGCATCCATAGATCTCCTCTTTGTCTTTTTCCTGGCAGCTGTATTTCTAACATCCTTCTACCAGTATAACCACTGTCCCTCCTCTGGACATGTCCAAACCATCTCAGTCTGGTCTCTCTAACTTTATCTCCCAGTTGTTCAACCTGTGCTGTACCTCTGATGTCATTCCTAATCTTCTCCATCCTTGTCACTCTTAAGGAAAACCTGAACATCTTAATTTCTTACACTTCCAGTTCTTTACTCTCAGTATTATTACACTGTTGTAAGTAAACCTTTATTTTGACCTTTGCTGACACCCTTTTGTCACAAATCACTCCTGAAACTTTCTCCATCCACTCCATCCTGCCTGGATCCTCTTCTTCACCTCTTTACCACACTCACCATCACCACTGTCCGGCTGTCTTCATACAGTGGTGCTTGAAAGTTTGTGAACGCTTTAAAATTTTCTGTATTTCTGCATAAATATGACCTAAAATATTGGCAGATTTTCACACGAGCCCTAAAAGTAGTCCTAAATTAATTCATTTAAATTTCACATTTATCTCTAAAACCTCCTAGATTAAAACAAAAATCTTGACTATGTCAAGGTTCAGTCCGGATAAAAACAAACGTAAAAATATAGTCTTTTGAAAAGAAACAAACAATATGAGCCTGAAAGAGACTTTATTTGGATATAGATCCAGCCCACTGTTCACCATCTGAGGACCCATTCTCTAGTATAGTACAGCTGACTTGTTCTAATGTATCAAGTTATGTTTGCTTATCAAAGCAGCCAAATGAGTCTCCTTGGCCTTCAGGGCACAGATTGTCAAGATCAGTTGTCAGTGAGGTCAGAATCACCAGAACTACAGAACAGCAAATCAGAAATTATTCAAATTCATTTGCTATAACTACTAAGGATGTTTGGCTTCCCATCTTCTTGTTAGTGCAGCAAAAGATTTTGGGTGATTTAAATTAGAACCAGCCCTATGGCTTGATCAACACATTAAGCCAACTAGATTTGAAGTTCTTCCTATTTTAAACGCCAATGAGGAAACGTTCGTTGTCCCAGCTGGGTGGTAAGAGAGGATCTGTTCTCACTTGTAGGCTGGCATTGGTTGCATCTGTCATTACCATAACCTTTGAGCACTGCTTTTTTTTCATATGTTCTGTTAAGTTGTAACTACAGATACATCTTTTATGACTTTGCTTTGACGAGGAACTGCAAGATTATCATAATCTGTTTTACAAAATGAAAGAGAGGAAGAGCACACCAAGGGCCACCCTCCTGCCTGTGCCCAATCCCTGACGTGACATCAGCGCCCCCACAACCACCAATCACACACACATACACCTGCTGCTCCTCTCACCACTCCTCTCACCTGATGTCTCCCCAGGCATGCCTGGCCTGCCAATGTTAGTCAACAGATGGTCAATATTGAGCCTGGGCTGGTCCTGCTTCTTCTCAGATACCTACACAAACATGAACCCAAGAACTGAAGAACAGGACATGTGGAGACATCCAGAGACAAATGGACTGTGGGCCAACCTACCATTCCCTCCCTCCGAAGCTCTCCGTCGCTGAAGAACCAGTCATACTGTTGAATCAAACAAACCAGGTCACTGGATGGAATTTAGAGCAGAACCACAGGCCAGTTAAAGTTCTGCAGCAGCTCTGCAGGAATATCTTACATGAGTGATAAGTGTCTCCACTATTTTGTAACGGTCGGGCATGTGCGTGACCATGTCGGTCATGTTGTCCTCTGATGTCCTCACCAACGTGGGACCGAACACCAAAGCTAGATTCCTTGGCTCCATCTGGAAGCAGAACCAATGCTCCATAACTGATTCCCATTGTCATGATCTGATCAAGGGATGAGGCTGCAGCTGAGCTCACCTTGTTCTTTTCAGAGTGATCAGCCACCCTCTTTAAGTGGCCCACTAAGAATCTCAGGGTGTGATAATAGTGATCTGGGAGGTCGTGGATCTACAGGGAGCAGAAAATGAGTGTGAGTTAACTTTTAAAGTTCAGGTAAGATTTCTGTGGACTATGATTTGCATGTACCAATTTCTTCATAGTCTTCAGTCTTTCCTCTGCATCTTCTATTCTGTTGGCATCAATGAATTCAATGTACTTGTCTGCAGACAGAATCATGTTTTAATGTTAGCGTCCATTAGAAATATATCGTCGTTTTAACTAAGAAATTGATGTCAGAAGAGATGATGGTATTGTTGTGTTTTCATCCACACAATCAGTAATGGTTCCTGACATTATACGTCCATAACAAAAGTCTGCGCTCACCATCAGTAAAAAGAGGCTCAGGCAGTTTTCGAAAGAATGATTTCAGCAAGCTGCTGATCACGTTGAGATCCTGGCACCTCTGCAGAAAGACAGGATAGCAGAGTTATACAAACAGGACTAGAGAAACACACTTTAAACTAGGCTTGGAACAACTCACACACCTCCTCAGCAGTGCTGATGTCGAGGCCCTTGTTCAGGTGCTCTTGCAGGTTGGTCACCATAGCGTTGTTCCCTGGTACACGGTAAATACCGGTGTACTCCAGACCAATTGCTTCGACAACACCACAGCACATTTCCACAATCAGAGGGACAAACTGTGGGAGGGAGGTGACATTTAACACAGGGCCACCGCTTATTCATCAAAATTTAAACCCTAAAACAGAAGCAGTGTGAACAAAAAAAGCGTTCCAGCTCATGGTCTAGTTTGTAGAACCTCTGTAAGCAGCAAGAACTCTTAGTAATCATTTTATGTAGAACTTTATCAGTCTCTCACATGACTGTTGGACTCGGCTGGTTCCTTGTTCATCTACACTCAAGGAAGTCATTGACAGCAAATTTGGACCTGGTCAGGCTGCCTGCCTTACAGGTCCTTCTCAAAAAATGAGCATATTGTGATAAAGGTCATTATTTTCCATAATGTAATGATAAAAATGAAACTTTCATATATTTCAGATTCATTGCACACCAACTGAAATATTTCAGGTCTTTAATTGTTTTAATACTGATGATTATGGCATACAGCTCATGAAAACCCAAAATGCCTGTCCCAAAAAATTAGCATATTTCATCCCACCAATGAAAGACAAGTGTTTTTAATACAAAAAACACCAACCTTCAAATAATCATGTTCAGTTATGCACTCAATACTTGGTCGGGAATCCTTTTGCATGAATGACTGCTTCAATGCGGCGTGGCATGGAGGCAATCAGCCTGTGGCACTGCTGAGGTGTTATGGAGGCCCAGGATGCTTCGATAGCGGCCTTAAGCTCATATAGAGTGTTGGGTCTTGCGTCTCTCAACTTTCTCTTCACAATATCCCACAGGTTCTCTATGGGGTTCAGGTCAGGAGAGTTGGCAGGCCAATTGAGCACAGTAATACCATGGTCAGTAAACCAGTTACCAGTGGTTTTGGCACTGTGAGCAGGTGCCAGGTCGTGCTGAAAAATGAAATCTTCATCTCCATAAAGCTTTTCAGCAGATGGAAGCATGAAGTGCTCCAAAATCTCCTGATAGCTAGCTGCATTGACCCTGCCCTTGATAAAACACAGTGGACCAACACCAGCAGCTGACATGACACCCCAGTGACTGTGGAAACTTGACACTGGACCTCAAGCAATGTGAATTCTGTGTCTCCTCTCTTCCTCCAAACTCTGGGACCTTGATTTCCAAAGGAAATGCAAAATTTACTGTAATCAGAGAACATAACTTTGGACCACTCAGCAGCAGTCCCAGGCGAGATGCTTCTGACGCAGTCTCTTGTTCAGAAGTGGCTTGACCTGGGGAATGCGGCACCCGTAGCCCATTTCCTGCACACGCCTGTGCACGGTGGCTCTGGATGTTTCTACTCCAGACTCAGTCCACTGCTTCCGCAGGTCCCCCAAGGTCTGGAATCGGCCCTTCTCCACAATCCTCCTCAGGGTCCGGTCACCTCTTCTCGTTGTGCAGCGTTTTCTGCCACACTTTTCCCTTCCCACAGACTTCCCACTGAGGTGCCTTGATACAGCACTCTGGGAACAGCCTATTGGTTCAGCAATTTCTTTCTGTGTCTTACCCTCTTGCTTGAGGGTGTCAATGATGGCCTTCTGGACAGCAGTCAGGTCGGCAGTCTTACCCATGATTGCAGTTTTGAGTAATGAACAAGGCTGGGAGTTTTTAAAAGCCTCAGGAATCTTTTGCAGGTGTTTAGAGTTACGTCGTTGATTCAGATGGTTAGGTTAATATCTTGTTTAGAGAACCTTTTTATGATATGCTAATTTTTTGGGACAGACATTTTGGGTTTTCATGAGCTGTATGCCATAATCATCAGGATTAAAACAATTAAAGACCTGAAATATTTCAGTTGGTGTGCAATGAATCTGAAATATATGAAAGTTTCATTTTTATCATTACATTATGGAAAATAATGACCTTTATCACAATATGCTAATTTCTTGAGAAGGACCTGTGTATAAATATATCTAAATATATCGATATTATCTATATATATATATATATAGTGTGTGTGTGTTCACATTGGTTTTTAATACACCTTATTTGTATTACATTATTGTTTAGTGTATATCTTAAATCCTTCTGTACTGTTTCCTTTTTTCTTTCTTCTTTAATATACTTTATAGTATTGCTATTTTTGGGTGTAACTGGGACCTTGAGTATACAATTTTGTTGCACCTCATGTGATGCAAATGACAGTCACCGTGAACCTGATATATGGTGATGGCCATCATGGATTTTGATGTGGCAATCCAATTTGTGATATGGACCTGTTTTACACCTTGATGTAGCCACACACCAAAGTGGAAGTTGGTACCTCTCTTACTTTTCAAGTTATTATGCTCACAACATTCACAGACACAGAGTAGTTCTTATTCCCTCTATTCACTCAGCGATGGGAGACAAGAATCCAACTTACCACACACCTGCCTGTTTGTTGGCAGAAACAAATCATTTTAAATGACCTTAACACACACAAAAACATAATAATTACAAACTCCATCATTCCCAAAACAAATAATTTAATATATTATATATTCATATACACAGGTTTACTTAACAAGGCAGTTAGAAAATTGGTCAACACACGATTGTCCACGTGTTTAGTTGCATGCACAAGGACAGGCAAATGGACATTTCTATATTATTAAGACGGACACTGGCAGTGCTGTTTGGTTCCGATTCATTAGATAACATAAAAGACATCAGCCATCTCAGGTGCTCCCTAACCCTTTGATAACACTGACATCAGGACATGAGGACACTGGGTGGGAGTTTAAACCTCTCTGTATTTATGCATCTTACTAGTGCTTCTCATCGCTGCTCACGTGAAAATTAACTAGAAACATTTTAGTAGAACTCCACACAGCTGCCTTAAACAACACGATGGGGTAGAGGCAGAGCAGCCGACTCAAGACCTGGAAGTCCCAGGTTCGATTCCCAGTCATTGCACATCTCGTGGTGTCTAAGCACACCCTTTCCCCCGTTGCTCCCTGGGCGCCTTCAATAACTGCCCACTGCACCACCTGGGGGTGGATGGGTTAAATGAAGAGCCAGTTTCACCATTGTATGGAAACATACAATAATGACAATACATACACATTATTATTATTATTATTATTATTCTCAGAACCCCTCAAACACACACACAGGGAAGAACAGTTAACTTATATTTGCATATTTTCCCATGCAGGTTTTTGAAGTCTTACATTGTTCAGAAGTTACTGGTGTCTACATGGGGGGGGGGGGGGGGG